AGTTGGACAATAACTACAGTAGAACAAACAAATCCCAGCAGGAATATTGGTAAAACATCAAAGCTGGAACAAAGGTGCTGGGCAGGGCCACTATCTGAGGTTTATTTATTCCTTTATTTAACCAGGAAAAGTCCCATTGAGATTAACAATCTCTTTTTCAAGGGCGTCCTGGCCAAGACAGCTCAAAGATTACATTATAAATTTCATTACAGTTTACAATTACATCTATCTATAATTAGAAATTCATAAAACAGTTACAAACCATAGATCTCATTTCCAAACCTTTGAGCAATCGTTTAAAATGTCCGATTGGAATCAAATCCTTCAACTTCCAGTCTTTCTGAAGATTGTTCCATGCTGTGGGGGCAGAGTACTGAAAAGCTGTCTTTTCAGCTTCAGTGCAGACACTAGGTACAGACAGAAGCAAATACTCTTGAGAACGTAGAGAATACAGTCCAGCCACTCTTGGTTGAATGTACTTATATTTCACCCCTTCAGTAAAACGAATCAAACTTATATCTTTTACCTTAATTAGGGCTGCAAGTTTTTTTCTAAGAGCCTAACAGGCACAGAGATTATTTACACATTATTTACACATGAGAGAAAAAAAATCAAATAAGACGGATTCTTAAAAAAACATGATCTTGGGCATCGACATTGCTGACATAAATATGCATTCAATTTAAACTTCAATTTTCGCTATTGTTCTGGTAGTATGTTTTCTGGATGTATGGGAGGTGTTTTGCCCGTCTCAAAAATGAACTTCTAACCCAGTTTTGTGTCTTATGTAACTTCTCAGATCCTGTTTGCTACTTCTCTCAGCCACTGACCGGTTTTGTTGTACTTGCTGTAAAAAGGCTTTCCCATGGCATGATGCTACCATCACCATGCAGTCCAAAAAAAGTTTTGTTATCATCCTAATTGCACTAATTCCTTAATTGTGGTGTCGCCATGGTTGCTGCAAATTTACCATTGCTGTCTTTTAATAAGGCTTTTTAACCATGCATCTATATTGAGTATTTATGCGGTGCATGAGTTAAAGTTATCCTGCTTCAAAGTTTTAGTGGACAGCCATGTTTTGCTACCATATAGTTGACTTTCTCTTATGATGGCTTGCAATGCTTGGGATATTGATTTCTATTGTATTTCTGCTTTAACCAACCTTCTCAGCTCCAACTCTGACCTGTTTGTTGTGTTTATTGTTCTTCTTGATTCTGTTCACTAATGTTCTCTAAACAACCTCCGAGGCCCTTCACAAAACAGTTGTATTCATACTGAGATCAAATTAAGCCGTTATACTGAAGAGGTAACATTAAAATAGTTAAAGGGAAGGATTTTACCTGACTTTAAGCCCTTGAGAAATAAATTTAAAGATTTTTGCATCAATATAATTTTCCTGACATTGAATAATGATACAATATCTTGTTCTAACATAAAATCCCTATAAAATACAGTAAAGTTTGTGGTTATATTGAGACAAAATTATACAATATTCAAAGGATATTTACATATTTGCAGGGAATGGTTAGTTATTCTACATGATCTCTTTTCCAGTTGGAGAGGAGATTGAGATGACCCCACTGCTGTTTACCAAAGGCCTGGCAGACAGCGGCACATGGGGAGAAAAATACTTTGGCCGCATTTTAACTGAGACCGTCCACATTGGGGAGGGCTGCACTCATAAAGCCAGCAGGGTTAAGGTTATCTATGGCTTGGATCCTGTATTTGAGTCTGGAAGCACCTGCATCATCAAAGTTAGAAACCCCATTGCTTATGGGATCAAACCAGAGAGCACCCTTGCAGAGAGAAATTTGGATATTACCAAGCAAGTAAGTGCTGTTTTAACTGCAACCTGATAAACCTGAGCGACTTCTATTAACTGCTTGATTTTACAGGAATGTAAAGTTCAAGACATGGTCAGAGAATACTGCAAAATATTTGCAGCTGAAGCAAGAGTAAATGAAAACTTTGGCTTCTCATTAGAGTAAGTACTGCTAATCCTACACAAATTTTAAACTATGATACACTGATTTTGATTAACCCCAGCAGCACTTCCCGGGTCTTGCAGAGTGATTCCTCGGTATCTGATTCACCGGCCTGCAAACTCTGTGCCATATGCCACAGTGGAGGCTGATCTGAAGGGAGACTTTGGGAAGTATTGTACCATAGATCAAAAAGGCAAGCTGTTTTCACAAAACACTTCAGAGCTTGAGCAGAAATGCTGCACCTTCCAACACTGGATCCATCAGTGGACACATGGAAATTTGCTGGTTACTCAGCTGGAGGGTAAGCCACAAATAAGAGGTATAAGGGAGAAAGTACTTAATGACTGAATCTATGATCAATCCAAAAAGATGAATTCATTATTTATTTTTTTTTGTAGGTGTTGAAACTAAAATTACAAATGTTAAAGTTGTGACCAAGTCAAAAGGGTTGGTATCTCCTGCTCTACGTGTTGACTTTTCCAAATGCCTGCTTCGAAATCAGAATGTAAAACTTGCTTTTCCATTTCTGTTTCAGATACCAAGGACTTACTGAATGTGGCTCACCAGAAGTATTTGATCAGTTCCTGACGTACCATCAATGCAACTACTACTGCGGACTTCTTGGTCTTCGAGCACTAAAAACAGATCCGCAGCAGTCTGGCAAGATTAAGAGCTCTAGAAGCCCACTGCTCAACCGAAAGCTGGGCTCCAACAGCCCACAGCTGCAGCGAAAAGGGCACAGCCCACAGATGTCTAGAAAAGCAAACCTCAGCCCAAAGACAGCCAGAAAGGCTCACGAACCAGAGGACAGTTGTAACTCAGGTGGGAAACAAAAGCCTGTTGAAAGTCTTTCTATTCCTGAACTGAGGTAGGAAATAGGAACTCCCCTTTAATTCCAGCATTGACTGAGCGTATCTTCCCTACTGTCATTCTTCAGAAGTCATTGGGCCTTATGCAAGAAGCGTTCATATGAAAAAATTTATTTTCAAATCATTCATATGAGTGATTTAGGAGGAACTGGCTCCTTCACCATTTTTCTCCTATTTCTAATCATCTCTCGTCTCCAGACTTGACGTATGAGTCTTGCACAATCAGTTATCCAAGAATAGTTTTTCACTAAATGGCTACATGTGTTAGTATGTATGTCCAATGTCCATTTTATAAGGATACGTCATTATATATTATGAAACTCTGCAATGATAGTACATTTGTACTCCCTGATGACAGAACTTTCAGTCACTACACCTGCAGCTGGCATGTTAGTATCCAGCGGAAACTGTTTTAATTTGTTGTCGCTTCATCAAAAAAAAAGAACAGTCAGTGCGCTCTATGTGAGAAGCTACTATTGAAATAACATCTGGAATACAAAAAAAGATAGAAAGTTCAGAATATAGTTCACCAACAGGCTGCTTGAAACTGCTCTAGATTTGAATTCATATCTCTCCATGGGGCCACCTTGGCTACGTCATTACACTGAATGTGGAACGTTGGGGTCTGTCTGAATTTTTCAAACGAGAGTTGTGGCGTTAACATTTTGAAGTTTCTTCTTGTATTAGAAAGTTGGAGAGTGTAATGAAAGGGTGACAGACATGATTTGTAGATGTACAGTACATGTGAGTATGTGCATTAAAAGGAGATTTCTAGGAATGTTGTCTTGGTTGATGATGAAGTCATATTAAGCATTTACATGATATGTTGCACCTCTTGCCTCCCTCAGTAGTTTTTAGTGACCGTCTTGCTTTTTATAGACATGTTTTAGACACCATTTGTAGATCAAATGATTTTTCCTTTTATTATTATTTGTATTCTTTTATTTTCTTTTTACTTTTGTAACAGTTCAACCACATAATTTACAGCTCTTGTGATTCATGTCCCACACTCCATGAACACTCTCCATTACATGCAGGAGGAATGCATCATTATTTACACAGTTATCTGAAATTAAGCAGGTTCGTTGAATCTGATGTGGCAGACTTGTAGGAGCTCATGGTAATAGAAACACTAAGAGAAGGTTACAAAAAGAATACGAAGACGTTGTTGCATGAGGCCCAATTGCTTCAAAAGTTAAGGTTTAGAATACAAGAAATTGTTTCTTGAACATCTTCATCATTAAAATTTTGAATTTCCTATAGATCTCTTTGAGGATATTTTAGGTCAAAGGTTGAAAATAGATAAATACTTACAGTTAAGGATTTTAAGGAAACTCAAAAGCATACAGGTGAAATATGTTTTTCAAGAGTCGTAGCAGCTTAGTGACTGTAAAAAGTTATTGTCTGAGAGCAAAATCTGACAAAGGGGATATAAGCATACAGGTATTTCAAAATAAAAGTCTAAGTTCTGCTGTACCCGGTAGCAGCCACTGAATGTCTATGTGTTATTAAGTTTGTACATCTGTGATGTAAGTTATGTAGAGAGAAGAAATGCGATTACACTTAAAGCTGTCTTTGCATTTTATTTCTTTATACACCAAAGTCAAGCATTAACAGTGTACAAGCACCGTTACATTAAAGGTTTCTTTGTGCACTTTTCTTTTAGCTTTTTTGGAAATAATAATAAAAAAATAAATTTTTCTATTAATTAAAGAGGTCAGTACATTTATTACCTTATTGCAGAATTTAGGGTTATGTTTTTGTAAACAAATCTGCAAATCCATAAATTAATGTAACCCAATTTACTTCCAGGGAATGATATTGCGATCCATGTTTGATTTGGATTGTTGTCAAATATGCAATAAAGGTGTCCAGCTGTCATTGTAGAAGCCCTAATATTTTTATATAGTCCCTGTCCCTATCCCCACCACCCCATTTCCTGTAAAGCTGACATAGCTAAGGTATTTCTGAAATAGGTAGTTTCTTTTTACAGTTTAGATTGTCAAGAAAATGTTATATGTTGTCCATGATTTTATTTTTCCAGAGGTACATATGTAATGTTGCACATGGGCCCTTTTAGCTTGATGCTCTTAAAGAAATTAGATACAAGATGACATGTAATTTCAAAAGGGTAAATATATAATTAATCATAATGTAATAACAGCAAGAGAGTCAATAAATGTGGCGCCAATGATCTTGTGTAAACCGGTTATGTCTAACCAAGTAGGGGCGGGGAATAGATTTCTCGATATATTGAAAAATATACGCAGATTAATTAAATTCAGTTTAATTATTTGTTCAGAGATTATGGAGCTGCAGTTATAGATTGATTTATTGCTTTTTTGCTAATCATTACCAGTTGTTCCAGTAAGTGCAATATGGTGCTATATGGACTTCATCTGTGAATTACTGTATAGTGTAATAACATAGTATAGTAAACATGAAATACCTAAATAATTTTGCAGAAACCATCTATGTCCTACTTATTCTGTTTCATCTGACAAGATCTATTTTTAATTTTAACATTTTATTTTGTTTTTGATTATTTTACCAGAAATTAGACTAAAGTTTGGCAGAAGTCTACATTGACCTGTCTGGTTAGCCCTGCATGGAAAAAATGCAGGCATTGTGTCATCATCTATTTGGCTTCAACAATCATTCACTTTAAAATTTAACAGAAGATACACTCTTTTTGTAATTGACATTAAAAGGGGACATGGTAAAGAATTTCAGGAATGGGTTCAGTGCTCATCATTAATGAAGCTTCAGATGAGTAGTCAACTGTTCTTTAATTATTTTCCAATACTGCATGAAACTGTAGTACTGTTAGAAAGATCAACTCAAGAAAACTGTTTTAAATTACAAAATTTGTGTTTTAATGTGTACATATAAAGAACAAAATCTAATATCTGTGTGAAGAAAGTTAAATGTTGATCTGAGGAAAATGTAGCAGACTGGCTGTGTCCGTTTGCACTGTGTGCTGTTTTAGGTATGTTACAAAATGTCTGCTGATGTATTTTTTTTTTCTTTTTAAATAAAAGCATAACTAAATCAAACAGCTTATTTCATCAACATATGCTTTCAAAAGTTTGTTGTCTTCCTGGGTTGTAGATAGATAGATAGATAGATAGATAGATAGATAGATAGATAGATAGATAGATAGATAGATAGATAGATAGATAGATAG